GGTTTTGATCAAATCAAGGGATCGTTTGGGAGGGATTTTGAAAATTGATTTTTTAACCATTAGAAGAAAAGTGGAGTCCACCTGTAAGAGAAAAAGTAAAAAATTACGGCTGGAATAGTGAAATAACTAGTCAAAAAATTAATTTTTTGGGATAAAAAAATCCCTCGCAAACATACTGCAAATACTCAATATCCAGAAAAAGTTCTTAACTAACTAAAAACTCATTTTCAATATAAACATTTATTAATGTCGACCAAATATTGATGCCGAAGTTGTTCGAACGGAAAACAACATTTGAATTCACATATTCGTTGGATTTTGTACTTCTAGAATATGTCCATCAACAATAAGAGGCTCCAATAACGTAGCTTAACACCAGTTATCCTAATGCCATCGGATAATTGATCGAGATTTTGATACGAGGAAGAACATAGGGATTTGGATTGATTACATATCCGATTTTGGGAAGAAGCGGAGTAGGAGACACATGAAGTGAGGTATTTTATTGAATACCATGATTTTTTATTTAAAAAAAAGAAAAAGAAAAAGAAAAAGAAAAAAAAATAGAGAGAGAGAAATAGGTATCATTTTTTGAAATTTAGAGTTTGTTTGGTAGAGATTTTAATCCAATTAAAAATAATTTTTTGATCGTTATTTCACTATTTTAGCTGTCATTTTTTAATCCTTTTTTCACATGTAGAATCCATTTTATCTCTAACGATCAAAAAATCAATTAACAAAATCCTTATCAAACAAGCACTTAAGCTTGAAACTTTAAAGGAAGGTTTCAAGGTAAATATCACTAATTTTTTTTACACAAATAAAATGTAAAAAACTTAAATGTAGTTAAAAAGAATTACTTTTAAATAATTTTTAAGCTCGTAAAAAGGCGCAGCCAAACATGGATTAAGCACATAATTTCCTAGCAATTTCCTCCTCTCTGTCGTTTTGCTCCTCTTTCTTCCCTTCCTCGCAACTTTACCGCGGGGGCCCAGGGGCAGCACATAGCACGAGGAATTCCACAAATATCAGTCTCTCATTTTTTTCTCTTCATCTGGTCTCCTTAATCTCATCTTGAATCATGGAGGATGGTATACTCTCTCTTTCTCTATACTCATTTTTTTTAAAAGCTGGATACATAAGAGTGTTATGTGAGTGCTTGTAAGCAGCTTAATCTTTGAATTATGAGAAACTGTTATGGTATGATCTATTTATGCTGTTAATGTAATTCAAACTAGCTTACTTCATAAAGAATCGAACAAATTAGCTTCTCGGTTGTTGAATGTTGATTCAGCGAGCGATCTGCTTGAAATTTGAAAAGAGTAATTTATTAGAGGAAAAAAAAAAAAATTGTTGCAGGAAAACTAGATGCCTATTGTGTATTTAGTTACATAAGTTTGAGGAAACTTGGGATTTCGTTACTGATTTTGATGCCGAGAATTGTTGAGATAACATAACATAGGAACCATATATAAAGAAAAATGAATTTTCTGTTTTTTCGCTTGTTCACAGCTTTTAGACTGTCCCTGTAATATTTTCCGAACAATACATTTGAGGCAAGGTATACAGAACTTGCACTGATTCTAGTACAAAAGCACTTAATAATATATTTTCAAATATTCTCAAGAAGGTTAGATATTCTTAGATTGTAGATAATTCATGTGAGGTGGTCACCATTCTTGTTATTCATTGTCATAGAAACTGTTTGAAAATTTGTATTTTGTAGATCCTTGGAGGTAAGGTTCTATGCCTCTCTCCATGTACCATTTTCATATTATTTCACCAAGCTAGAGGCAATGCCAAAACCCATTGAAGTGTATTTAAGTAGCCCCCCCACCCCTCCCCCACAAAAAAAAAAAAAAAGCAAAGGTTTTTATGTCCATAATGTGTTGTGGTTGCTTAAGATAAATTTGTTATTGATTTGGAATACAGACATAGCTTTGGACAATAGAGACCTAGAGAAAGGGTTGATATCAGCAACAGGAAGCCAAAACTCTCCATCTGAACCATCTCCTGCGCCATCACCATCCGCAGCAACTCCGCCAGCTCTGGTTTTATCAAATTCTGGGAAGCGAATTGATCAAGCTGGGAGAAAGAAATACGTAAAAAAGGTTACTGGCAGGCACAATGACACGGAGCTGCATTTGGCAGCTCAAAGGGGTGATCTTGTGGCTGTGAAGGAGATACTTAATATTAATTCTCAAATGGTGGGAACTCTAAGTTCAACAGATTTTGATCGAGAAGTTGCAGAGATCAGAGCCTCAGTCGTGAATGAAGTAAATGAGTTAGGAGAGACAGCATTATACACTGCAGCAGAGAGAGGGCATTTCGATGTGGTAAAAGAGCTACTGAAGTATTCAAATAGGGAAACACTTGTGAAGAAGAATCAATCTATGTTTGATCCTTTGCATATAGCTGCAAGAGAAGGCCACCATGGTGATTATCTGAACTCTATTGTTCTTCTTTTTGACCTTATTTTAAAGTATTCCAGATATTGCTCTCTAGTTGCTCCTCCGGTTTCAGTTATGTGATGGTTTATTACGTTGGAAACTTGGCCCATAAAAATTATCTTTAAATGAGGGACAAGGTTTTAGCAATGTATATGAGTTTTAAATTTGATTTCAGATTCTTGGATGTTAATTATATTTGAGAAATTCATTTGCTGTCTTCAATCTGTGAATTCATTGAATCTGCGGAGGCATATCCTGTTGAACTCTGCTCATTATTGGTGGAGGGCGTATGGACCGCATGGAACTTGGATATCAAGGACAGGCTGAGACCATTTAGCGTTATCTGAAGGTTTAGTTCACTATAATAGGTTGACTTTGGACTAATGGAGTGTGTTTTACACTTGAAGAGTTATGCAGAAAATATTACACTCCTGCTGTGTGTAACGGGTAAAAAGCATCCCCTGCAGTCGCATGGAAACAACTTTAATTCATTTCTTTTTCAGATCCTGTAATGTTAACATTATCCTGGGTGATGGATCGATCTGATTTCAGTTTTCAAAATTACATCGTTGCTTGCATCTGGCACAGTAAATTTGTTCACTGGAAGACGAATCATTGAAAGTGCATGAGCTTATGTTATGAAGTCCTTGGTCAATCTTCAAAAATTGACCGATTCCCTTCTAACCTGAGACTCGTTTGTTTTCTGTGTTGTGTCTGTTGTCCTCTGTATTGTTGTTTCTATTAGGCGAGACACTGACATCGAATCATTTAATTTCAGCAATTGTTCGAGTGCTTTTAGACCATGACCCTGAACTAAGCAAAACAATTGGTCCTTCCAATGCTACCCCTCTTATAACTGCTGCTTCAAAAGGGCACATGGATGTAGTTAATGAACTGCTGTCTAAGGATTGTAGCTTGCTGGAAATTTCCAGATCTAATGGAAAAAATGCATTGCATTTAGCCTCCAGACAGGGGCATGTGGACATTGTCATGGCATTGCTTGAGAGAGATCCACAATTGGCTAGAGGAACGGACAAGAAAGGACAGACTGCATTGCATATGGCTGTGAAGGGGGTTAACTGTGAGGTGGTTAAATTGCTTCTCAACGCTGATGCAGCTATTGTGATGCTGCCAGACAAATTTGGAAACACAGCATTACATGTAGCCACAAGGAAAAAGCGAGTAGAGGTACGTTTTAGTTTGCTGTTTTAAAATTTGTTCTATTATTGTACCTTTTGCTTCATATATATGAATGTTATCCCAAACCAGATTGCTTATTATCCCCATTGAAAATTAATAATTTACTCTATCAAGTTTCTATTCTCCATATATTTTCTATATGAGTATACATATCATTATTATCATAAGAAATCCCTGAAGAACTCTGAATGTTGTATAACTTATGAATGCTGTCTAGTGAAAAATACTTCTATTTGTTAGTAAAGAGAAGGCATTTGATAACCCGGTTCTTGCATTTCTAATATTAAAAAACAGAGGCCATAAGTTAATATATATATATATATATATATATACACACACACACACACACATATATATTTTTTCTTTTAGTTTAGAAAACGTAAGCAGAAGAGAGAAACAACATAATTGAGACAACTTGATTTTGAATGTAGTTTAGTCATAGTAATTCTAATTACAACGTAATCTTGCTGCATTCTTCTAAAGAAAAAGAAAAACAATTTACCTTGTATTAAGATAAAAAAGAAAACTACAGGCTTTATTCATAAATGACTTTATTGTGGATTTTCTCCCTTTAAGAGCAACCTAAATACTCTTTTAGAACTTTAAAGGTGATACCAATGCAATACTGATGTACATGCATACACATGCTATATTTCTTAATTTCGTTGTGGGGAATTTTTTTCCGTGCAGATAGTAAATGAGTTGTTAAGCCTTCCTGATACCAATGTCAATGCACTGACAAGAGATCACAAAACTGCTCTTGACATTGCCGAAGATCTTCCGCTCTCCGAAGAATCTTCACAAATAAGGGAATGCCTTTGTCGTTACGGTGCCGTTAGAGCTAATGAGTTGAACCAACCAAGGGATGAGCTACGGAAAACTGTAACTCAAATCAAGAATGATGTCCATTTCCAGCTTGAGCAAACTAAGAGAACAAACAAAAACGTCCATGGAATTGCCAAAGAGATTCGGAAACTCCATCGAGAAGGCATCAACAATGCTACCAACTCAGTAACTATAGTGGCGGTGCTATTTGCAACGGTTGCCTTTGCAGCCATTTTCACTGTGCCCGGTGGGGATGACAATAATGGAAAGGCCGTTGTCGTGAAAAATATCTCCTTTAAGATCTTCTTTATATTCAACGCCATTGCACTTTTTACGTCCCTTGCAGTTGTGGTAGTTCAGATTACATTGGTTAGAGGTGAGACGAAGGCTGAAAGACGTGTAGTAGAAATTATCAACAAACTGATGTGGTTGGCTTCAGCGTGTACTTCAGTGGCATTCATGGCATCTTCTTATATAGTGGTTGGACGCAAATACCAGTGGGCTGCAATATTGATTACAGTTGTTGGTGGAGTTATAATGGGTGGGGTTCTTGGGACTATGACTTATTATGTGGTGAGGTCGAAGAGGATACGATCAATGAGGAAGCAGGCTCGAAGTGGCTCCACCTCCTGGCATCACTCGGAGTTTTCTAACTCCGATGTTGACCGCCGGATTTATGCCCTCTGATCGAAGAAAATTCTATTCTTAAGAACGTGGACGAAGTAGAATTGAGATTTTAATTCCTGCTTGGTACTAGGTATAAACATGAATATGTAGTTGACTTCTTAAATTACAGCAGTTACAGATTAATATTTGACGTGAAATTTATGCTCGTTAAATTTCAATTATGCTACATGTACTTTTTTCTTTCTTTCTTTTTTCTTTTTTTCTTTTTTTTTTGATGTCAAATTTGATATTCAATGAGGTGATAGCAATGGCAAACAACATCTTGATCCCGTGATCACAAAATTTACAAACCTTACCTGAATTGATGAACGCCATAAGAAATTAATTCTTGATAAATTCAGAATTAATTCAATGAAGAACGAGTTGAAAACAAATATGTATCGCAATAATATCTCTCAAATTGTGTGTTTTACAATGAAAAGAATGAGTCATATTTATGGTAACTCATAAAAACCTAATTAAATTGGAATTTAAGTCTAAAGATATCAAAAGATATCATAAAACTAGAGTTTTAACTAAACTAAGATTCTTTTTCAAAAAGTGAAAAATTCGTTGCCAAACTTGTGCTATGCAGTCGCATAGTTCTTCAAAAATTATTCTTTTTTGCTCCTGTATAGAGACATGCGGTCGCATGCCTTGGTAAACTATGCAGTTGCATAGTTGACCTCTTCAACTCCTCAATTTGTTGCTTGAACCAAATTGATCCATCTTGTTTCTTCTTCTATGTCCAATATGAAACTTGTCATTTTACTTATTATGATCGATGTTTCATCCACTATAGCTTGAACAAGTAATTCTATGGCTTCTTGGATCTTCTTTGCTAGTGACCTAGTTATTGATCCTTCCTCCATGATCAACAAATCCTTGTCCCAAGCAGCTCTCTAACTATGAATCTCGTCACTTATTGGTTAACTCGCAACCGATTCTGTTAAGAGTATTACGTTTTATTTATTGGTTCACGCATTATTTTATTAATAGTCCGTTGTTGGATGGGGGGGCGTGGAATGTTCCCCTACTTTGAGCAAACCTTTTATGTCCTTGTTCCATTGCATATTACTTTGCACTTCGTTACCATTTGGCAAGTTTTGCAAATTATTTTTCGAGATTTCAACACAAATCATTATCATAATATAGCATCTCTAATTCTTTGAAACTTACCCCTTAAAAATGAAATGTTCGTCTATAAAGCCTAATGTCATTCATTATTATTAGTTGTGATGATCACCTAACTCAATATGATGAATAAAAATGCAACTCAATTTTATTATATAATGTGATACTAAATTTTTTTTTTTTTTCCGTTGAACAATGTGAGTGACTTTGACTATAAAATAGTCACAGATTGAGGTGCAAATGTCGAACATTATTCACCTTAAAACTAACAACAGGACCTACAGTTTAGATTATATAAAGTAAAAAGCTTCTTGTATAAAAATTAAAGGTAATTAATTTTCATTTTCTTGGTCAATTTAGGTTTTTTCATTTTTCCCTTGAAGAGGGAAAAAACGAACGCTTAAGTACGGCATTCCCACAAATTAGGTACTTGTGAACACGGTTCAGTTTGATTGTTTTGAACTACCTTCAAACCTAACTATTCTAAACAAATTGAAAAAAAATTCAAATCAAATCAAATCATTTTATTTTTCAAATCAAACCATTTTCTGTGGTTTGATTAGATTTCAAACCATGATTTTTCCGATGTGAAAATATCATATTGCAAACAAGTAAAAAATAAATGTATTTATGTGAAATCTTAGCATAGTACTTAAATTGTAACGTTCTAATTATAAATTTCGCAATACAAATATATTTTATCTTCATAAAAGCTTAAACAATAAATCAATATAAGGTTCAACAATAAAATTTGAGCCTGCAAATTCATTTCTTTTTTTAAAAAAAATATTATCATAATTATTATTTCCTTAAAAAATGCCTATAGAATCTATTATCAGGTAAATTACCAAGCATAAATTGAATTAATAAATAGTATACTTTGAGTAAAATAATACAAATTTTTTTTTTTAAAATTTCGTGAATAATTCAATTTGTTTTTAGTAAATCTAATAACACTACATTCGTCTGTCAGCTGCCTCCCTCCCTCGGAAGCTTAAACCTCACAAAACCCTCGACGGAGAAATTTAGGGTTTTACTACATATACACACAATCCTAATCAACTTTTACTGATTTTTTGGAGCATAAATTGAGAAAAAGGAATTGCAATGAACAATCTTAAGTTATCATGGGAGGTGTCATCGACGCTGCAGTTACAGTCGGAGAATGGAGAAGAAGTCCTGCAGTTATTGGCCATGGACATGGAGCGCAACCGCCTTTTTTTCTCATCATCCGCAAATTTTATATACGCCACTCAAATTCCGTCACCTCAAGTAAGAAACATGTATTAGTCTCCATTTTATAGCCGTTCATGTGTCCTTGCATTTCTGTGCTTATTCATTAAAATAAATAAATCGAAAGTGTTTCAATTTATGGTTTCAATAGAGCTCGTTTAGCCAAGTCTAGGAAAACAAGTAAAAGTTGCATTTTTTTGCATACTCTTATCGAATTATCAAAATAAGTAATACCTCATCAATTAAAGGATTATTTATTTACTTTGGAAATTACATCTTAACTGAAAAGAATTTTTTTTAGCTTATCCATTCTTGCTCGTAATCTCATAGGTATGCATATCTAATTGTTTTCACAGTCTTTAGTGTTTTTTTTTTTTTTTTTTTTTTTAATTTTTTTTTTTTTTTTTTTTTTTAACGTCTTTTTCTTTCTGGGCAATCAGTTGTTTTATGTTGTGTGGGATGATGAAAAATTGAAAAGTGATACAAAGTTTATTTATTTGATGATGTTGAAGTTAATTTTAAACATGAAATGGGGGAAAAATAAAATATTTTCCACAAATTACTATTTTACATAAAAATTGTTTGTTTTTGTCTATTGTTTTTCAGTCTTGCATTCTCATTGGTATCAGTCTAATGGAAACTGAAAGGAAGGGATTTTGGTTTTGTGCAACCTATTAAAGAGCAAAATGTTAAATGTTTGGACGTACTTTATGAACTTAGGTTGGTGAAACAGTCTCATTTGAGTTTGAGCTTGTTGTGGATGCACTTCACATGCTGTATCACTTCTCTTTAATTATGCTGGCTATTGAGATATAGGTAGGAAATACTAATTGCCAAAACCACGCTGCATAAACTTGGCATCGAAACAATCTAGTGAGAAATGAAAAATGAGAAGACTAAAAACTAAACAGAGATTTGTTTATGATGAAAATTTAAGAGTGAACTAGCAAATTTTTTCTGAAGTTGCTCATATGTTATACTGATAATATCAACTATCAAGAGTTCTTGGATGGTTATGCATTGGTGTTTTCCTCTCTCTCTCTAACAAGTTGGTTGTGACTTGAACTAGATTGCAGGAGCATGGAGTAAAACCTTGTTACCTGCTTTTGTTCAGCTCATTGATTTAGAAAGTGGAGATTTCATTACTTCCTTGGAATATCTTATGGAAAAGGAAGCCTTGATCATTGGAACTTCTTTTGGACTTCTGTTACTTAATAATGTGGATGATAATGCAACAGAAATTGTTGGCCGAGTGGAAGGTGGTGTAAAGTGCATCTCTCCTAGTCCAGATGGAGATCTGCTTGGTGTAATTACTGGTTTTGGGCAGATTTTAGTGATGACTCTTGACTGGGATGTACTGTATGAAATAGCCCTTGATGATCTTCCCGAGGACGTTCACGTACGTAAGGACTTCTTACAGTATTCGCCAATCTGTTGGCATGCTTTTTAATAACTTTAAATCCTTACCAACTTTTAATATCCTTTTGGTGTGTGAATTTTTGGACAAATTGTACACTGTAATTATCCAATTCAGAATGTGTTGAACCCAAATTTGGACTGTTTGTGTGCACAATTAGTTAATTGTGCTGTATGTAAAAAGAAACTGGACTAGGTCAGGTAGTCGAACAGGAAGACTGATGACATGGGTATCAGATCAATCCTGGTGGCTCTATTAGATTGCTAACTTACCAGACCTGTCAAACCTGGGCTGGTTTTCGAGTAACCCGTTTGCAAACATACCAGACTTGTCAAACTTGGATGGTTTTAGGTAAACCAGTGTGAGCCAGTACCATACCTGTAAACTTGAGCTTGTAAAATGGCTTCACCTTCACCAAAAGGGAAGAAAGATTCTGGTAAACAATTAGTATTAAGAAAATAACTGTAGTAACCAAGAGAGCTCTATAGAACTTGCGCTTTCTTGCACCTCTAAAACTTGAAATACTTGTATTAAATGATTTAGTTTCCGGACCATCTTTGTTCTAAGTTGTGGAATTCAGATGGCATCATTGTATCTATTACTGAATAGGGTATGATAATTTCAGCGTAGAAAAAAAATACTCCATTGACTAATGATATTGAAGATAGGAGGAAAAGTTAAAGATTCACCATTTTCATCGGTCATGTCAACTTGGAAATCTTTATTACCCTGGAACACACTGTAGCCTGGAATGTCATTTATTATGAGTATGTTGGTTAAATTCTGCCTTGGTTACATAATGATGCATGGACACTTACTACGGCAGTGTGTTCGTGTCTGACACATCCCTCGCACTTGACTCCTTGAGGGAGGGAACTCCTGTGCTCATGGGCCCTCCTCCCATGGTCCACTTTGCATTGTGTTGTATCGAACACGACACTCCTCGGAAACTCAAGGACTTGTATTTAACAAACCATGTGCCCTTGTCCGATTATTTATATTTTCTAATTATTGATGCTCGATAGTTACTTTAGAGACCTCTCTCCAGCAATTGTCAAACATGTCACGTCATGTCCTATATTAAAAATTATAGAAATAATATATCCCATATGAATTTGAAATTTTAAAGAATTTGGATGGACGTGTTTGTGTCCTACTTCTAGAAAATTCACGTGTTAGTGTGTCCGTTTGAGTGAGTTATTTAAGCTCCACGCTTTCTTTCCTTTCAAGTAATTGTAGTAAAACTTGACTTGTTGACCCCTTGGCTTTTCCGGCGGTACGAACATATTGGGTATAGAATAAATCTGCTTCTCTTTGTTCCTACGAATGGAATTGCCTCATATCCACGTCTATGCAATTACTTATTTTTTTAAGATGTATTTCGAACAATTTCTTGTAGATAATGTGCTCAATTTAGCATAGTAAAGAAAGAAGTCTCTTCATTATATTAGATAATGCTCTTTTTTTATTATTTATTTATTTATTTTTCACTGAGTAAATAACACTTGTTTGAAAGAAAGATAGTTTCAAATACTCGAATGCTGTAACGATAGCGTGGAAAATTGAGTTTTTACTGTTTTATATAATTGTTTAATGAGTCATTATATTGAACTGTATTTATAGGAATCGACATTTTCTTCTAACTATTCATTTGGAAGTCCTATTTCATGGAGAGGGGATGGGAAATTCTTTGCGACACTGAGCAAAGTGCATGATTCTTTTCCTTTGAGTAAGAAGCTTAAAGTTTGGGAACGTGAATCTGGGACACTCCATTCTGTCTCAGAATTAAAGCCCTTTATGGGATCAGCTGTAGATTGGATGCCGAATGGAGCAAGAATTGCCACCGTTTATGATCGAAAGGAAGAGAAGCAATGTCCATCCATAGCTTTCTTTGAGAGAAACGGTTTAGAAAGAAGCTCATTCAGTATCAATTTAGGAACTGATGTGACCATAGAAATCCTTAAATTTAACTGTAACTCAGAGCTTCTTGCTGCCGTCATCAGAGGTGAAACATTTGACACCATCAAGATTTGGTTATTCAGTAATAATCATTGGTACTTAAAGCAAGAGATCAGATATTTAAAGCAGGATATGGTTAAGTTCATGTGGGATCCAACAAAGCCATTACAGTTGAATTGTTGGACTCTTCATGGCCAGATTACAACTTACAAGCTTTTCTGGGTTACATCTGTCATGGATAACTCAACTGCATTTGTCATTGATGGCTCAAAGATACTAGTAACTCCACTTTCTTTATCCTTGATGCCACCTCCTATGTACTTTTTTAACTTAGAATTTCCTGCCGCTGTTAGGGATATGGCTGTGTGTTCTGAAGTTTCTAAAACTCTTCTAGCTGCATCTCTGTCAGATGGAAGTTTGTGTATAGTAGAGTTTCCTTTGCTTGATCAGTGGGATGAGCTAGAAAGCAAGGAATTTAAAGTTGAGGTTTTGTCATCTGATACTGGTTTTGGATCTTTTATACATCTTGCGTGGTTGGATTCACATGTGCTTCTTAGTGTTTCCCATTTTGGTCTCAGTCATAGTAATTTCACCAAAGGAAAAGATTTTAACAAGGATTGGCGTGCTGGATATTACCTGCTAGAATTTCAGCTTACTTGTTCTGAGAATCACATTCCTGGCTCAATGACATGTTCAGGCTGGCATGGGAATGTTTCCAGTCAAATCTATCTTGAACGGGTAGTAATTGGTATAGCTCCTAAACCATTTAATAGGTATTCAGCATTTGTTCAATTTGATGGTGGAAAAGTATTTGAATATATATCAAAATTGGGCGCGAACAAAGAAGTTCCTCTTCAGAGATGTGATGACATGGGTTTCTTAACATCCTGCCCATCGATGGTCATTGCTCCTATTGGAGGCTATGATGAGCAAGAGAGAGATTTGCTTTTTGGGCTTGATGACAATGGCAGGCTGCATCTTAAGGGAATGATATTGTGTAACAACTGTAGTAGTTTTTCAGTTTATTCTAGTTCTGCTTGCAAAAGGATTACACATTTGGTACTTGCAACTAAACAGGATCTATTATTTATTGTTGACATTGATGATATTTTGCTCGGACAATTAGAAGAGAAATATGATAATTTCCTTCCTGTTATGAAGAATAGTAAGGGTGCAAATGAAAAAAATTGTATATATATATGGGAGAAGGGGGCGCAGGTTGTTGGAGTCCTTCATGAAGATGACTCTGCTATCATAATGCAAACAACTAGAGGAAATCTTGAATGTGTCTATCCAAGGAAATTAGTCCTTGCTTCAATTGTCAATGCTCTGGTCCAAAGGCGTTTTAGAGATGCATTGCTCATGGTACGGCGGCATAGGATAGATTTTAATGTAATTGTCGACCATTGTGGTTGGCAAGCCTTTCTTCAGTCAGTTGCAGAGTTCGTGAAAGAGGTTAATAACCTGAACTATATAACTGAGTTTGCTTGTGCCGTGAAGAATGAAGATGTCATGGAGACACTGTACAAAAATTATATGTCCCTACCTTGCATAAAGGATGATAAATTTGTAGGACGTAGTGGACCTACGGGTTTGGATGGTAGCAACAAAGTCTCTTCTGTCCTGATGGCTATACGTAAGGCTCTTGAAGAGAAAATTGAGGAAAGTCCTGCAAGGGAGATCTGTATTTTGACTACTTTAGCTCGAACTGATCCCCCAGCTCTGGAGGAAGCTTTGGGAAGAATAAAGGTTATCCGAGATAGGGAGCTCTCTGTAACAGATGATACCCCGAGAGTGTCCTATCCTTCTGCTGAGGAATCTCTGAAGCATCTATTATGGTTGGCTGACCCGGATGCTGTCTTTGAAGCTGCTTTAGGACTTTATGATTTGAATTTAGCAGCTATTGTTGCATTGAATTCCCAAAAGGATCCAAAAGAATTTCTTCCAATTCTCCATGAATTGGAATGTATGCCAACAGTTCTGATGCAATATAACATAGACCTTAAACTGCGAAGGTATGAACATGCTCTCAGGCACATTATATCTGCAGGAGATGCTTACTATGAAGATTCTATTAACTTGATGAAGAATAATCCCAAACTTTTTCCCTTGGGACTTCAGCTAATTGGTGATCCTCAGAGGAGAAGGAAAGTTCTTGAAGCATGGGGAGATCATCTTAGTTCCACGAAGTGCTTTGAGGACGCTGCTTCCACTTATTTGCGTTGTTTCTGTTTGGAAAAAGCTTTAAAGGCTTACCGTGCTTGTTTGAATTGGAAGGGGGTTTTGACAATTGCTGGTCTCATTAAACTTGGAAAGGATGAAATTTTACAGCTGGCTCATGAGCTCTGCGAGGAACTTCAGGCTCTTGGTAAACCAGGGGATGCTGCCAAAATATCCCTGGAGTACTGCTGTGATCTTAACAACACTATTAGCCTATTGGTCTGCGCAAGGGATTGGGAGGAGGCTTTGAGGATTTCTTTCTTGCACAGGAGAGACGATCTTATTTCAGAAGTGAAAAATGCTTCTCTTGAGTGTGCAAGCACGCTTATTTGTGAATATGATGAAGGACTGGAGAAAGTTGGTAAATACTTGACTCGATATCTAGCAGTTCGCCAAAGAAGATTACTGCTTGCAGCAAAGATTCAATCGGACGAGAGATCAGTTAGCGAACTTGATGATGAAATCGCTTCGCAAGCTAGCAGTAGTTTCAGTGGAATGAGTGCATACACCACTGGGTATGTTTTGTATCTGTACTTGGTCATGCTTCATTATGCCTTCTTTTCTTATGCATTTTCCTTTTTTAGCTAGAATTGTTTTGCCAATGTTCCCCCCATAGGCATTGATATTATCCAGATTTTCTCTTTACGTCTGGTATCTAGAGATTTTTTTCTTAAGAATATTAAGTAAAACCAAATGCTCTGAGCGCTGATTGTTGTTGTCACTATGGTGGATTTTGTTTCCATTTTGCCTGGCTCTTGTCCCATTACCACCTCGTAACTCCATCCCTCTTCTAGGAAGGACATATAGGACGTCATGACATATGGAAAAGCATTTTAGTCAGAGAAAACTTCATTTACTGATCTATCCCCTGAATTTTAGTATTTTTTAATTTTTTATGCTAGTTTTCATCAGTTAGTGAGGGTAGAATTTTTCTGAAGAATGTAATTCTGTAGATATCTAGCCATATTTTTAATGTATCTTGAGACTGCCAATGTCTCTTGACTTAGAGACCAATAGCATCAACACAGACATTTGTGGAAGGTACTTCCAGCTCATTAATGCCATTACAGGACTTGGTGGAACAAGTTCTTTCTCTTTTGGGGTAGGTGTGTTATGATTTGCTGAGAGATTTTTTTCCATGTTTTTGACTCGTACAAAACCACGTTGTGTTTTGTATTAATTTCTGTTCATAAATCTGGAAGATAGGTTCTCTCTGCAGTGAAGCAATGCTTCTTATCCCGTGATCTTGAGATGAAACAATGTGCCACAATCAGCCATGAGATTATTCAAAGTGTTAATTCACTATTCTCTGTAGCTGTTATATTTAATTTCTGTTCTTCAATCTGGAAGATAGGTTCTCTCTGACAGTGAAGCAATGCTCTGTATCCCGTGATCTTGAAATGGAAAAATGTGCCATAATCAGCCATGAAATATTCAAAGTGTTAATTCACTATTCTCTGTATCTCAAAATTGTGTATTATGACTGAGAAGGTTTAATTTGGCAATATAATGGTTTTCTTAATTTATTTCTGATGTTTGAAATGTTCGCCTAGATAATTTCCAATCGTTTCATAACCAGAGTAAAGCTCCAGATCTCCTGGAAGCAAGAACTCCTGTCCTCTCACCCACCCAGGAAAAAGTAAAGAAAAATGAACAGCTGTTGAAGTTCCAAATTGAAGCTTGAGTTCGTATTTCTTAACAAAGAAGTCCGGTGCCAAAATGTAGTGTCTTGGTTTGCCTTTCGTTGTCTGTGGTTTTCTGTGCTCCTAGGCTAAGTGTCATTGTTTTCCATTTTTTTTTTTTTGGTGTATTTGCATATATGGGCCAAAATCTTACATGGACCAACTATAGAACCCTATTCAATTAGTGGAATGCATTAGCTGTCTTTTCTCATGTTGGGCAGTAAAGGTTGGAGAGAGACAATCGCCACTCTTCAAATGAACGTTCTTCTTCTCTTCTCGCTCTTGATCAAGCAAGCCCAACTTTGGCGAGTGGAATTGGCAAAAGAAGCTCTTGCTGAGTTCATTAGACAGGAAGTCGTCCTCTCATTCGGTCCTAGAATGAAGTAAAGTGTAAACTTTTGAGGAATGATTAGGCATATATAGAATAGAAAAGGGGATATGTAGGTTGAATGACCATATTAATATATCTTATAAGGGCGTGAACGTTTTGTACGTCATATGCCTACTTTTTTGAATAGGAAGACATGAATTCTAAGCTGAATTCAACTAGTGAAATGCCCTGTTAGAGTGACTCTCTCAGAGGAAGTCTGAGAGCCGTTAGCTTAGGAGAATCCAGTTTCTACACTTCTTATAGTTCGATAGATTATATAGTCAAAATGGAATTAATTGGAACTGTGTGTGTATGATAGAACTGTAAATCCACAAGGACTGATTTGAAAGGTTAGAGGGGCTACAATTGTGAGGAGATCAAGAGTACATTAAAGAGGTTCAATTGAACAGAATGTAGAAAAGCTGCATTTTGTTGTTTGACTGTTATTTTGAAGCTATAGTGTTGATAGTAACTGGATTCCAGGAGGGAGACTCGTGAGGAAACAGAAAACATAATGGCATTCTATATGTCTTGCTTATAAATAATTGTTACTATTTAGTTTTAGTGTACATGAATATTTGTTTATGACATAAATATGAGCTGTATACTGGCTTTCTTTCATGAGCAGGACAAGAAAAAGTTCAACGGCATCTTTCAGCTCAAGCATATCTACCAAGGGCAGAGATTACAGGCGTCAGCGAAATAAAGGGAAAATTCGTGCTGGAAGGTACATGTAAATTCAAGAACTTCCTTTTTTGGTTCTGAGGTTCGTGTTTGTTGCATCTTATGGAATGCATTTTGTTATCATCCAGCCCTGGTGAGGAGATGGCTTTGCTAGAGCATACGAAGGGGATGTCTCTGGCTGATGGGGCAAAACGTGAACTTAAATCTCTGTTGATTTCCCTTCTGATGCTTGGAGAGGAAGACACTGCTAGAAAATTGCAGCAAGTTGGCTTAAACTTCCAACTGTCTCAAATTGCAGCTGTAAAATTAGCTGAGGATGCAATGTCCAGTGACCAAATCGACGAGAGTGCATTTTCCTTGGAAAATTACATTCAAAAAGAAAGAGACGGACTGCATAATTCAGAGGCATTCTATTGGATGTCAAAGACACTGCTTTGACTTGAGAGGTAACTAGAACCAAATCTCATATTTCAGTATACAAGATTGTGTGAATGCGTTACACTGCTTCATTATATCTGCCTGCTAATTCTGTGAGGTGTGCGGATACTTCTGTGAGATGCCAAGTGAACCAATCCAAGATGAAACCAGAGCTAGATGTTGTCTATGCCTTTTTTGCTAGGCTAAATGACTTTTTCAAATTTGGTCTGGAAAATGTACCCACTCTAGAACTTTTGCACTTAACTCGCATCCATGGGTTGTTATAGCTGACTCAACTATTGAAGTAAATTAGGAGTAGCATTGTAATGCAGAGAAACATTTGTGATCGGTGGTATAGGGATTAATCTTGCAATGGTAGAGTAAAACCGGCTTGCAAGTTTTTTGAGGTAAAGCCAACATATTTACATGGTAAAGCTTCCATGATAACATTGAGATTCCTAGAATCTGCTCCAGTAGCCAACCGTCTGAGATAAACTTGTCCCTCTCTGTCTTTGAGACAGCTGAAAAATTGTCTCGAGCATATATATTCCATGTCTTGTTCGTCTGATGAATGATTGTCTTGCATTTAGGGAATGAGCAGTCCTCAGTGTAGATCAGGCCTTTTTTGGGCCTCCTGTCTATCCATATGCTAACATATGCAGATCTGCTTAGCTTGTTATTGCTGCTTTCTCTGAGCCAAATCATATAAAATGTCTATGGATGTAAACTGAATCTTGAAGATCTGATGTTGACATGGACATGCTTGGCCTTTTCTTTTTAAGACTGAGCAGAATGTGTATAGAAATTTTTCTTCCCGTATATAGGGAAATGATTATTTCTCTAGAGGAAGAATTTGAAGTGCTAAATAATGCAGTGTGGTCACTTGAAAGAGTAACGGCTAAGATTTAAATGTGAACTGCAAATTGAATTGTTTCACTGTCCATCCATTTATCTCCAGGGCTAGGCTACATATATAAACTAAGAGTACTTGTTATGACGTTCCATTTCATATGTTTGCTGTATGTAATTTGATTCATTTTTTAATCTGGTAATAGAATTCATCAACATGTACTTTAGCTGTATAATTTTTTTAACTCGGACCAATGTCCCAACCAATAATCAAACCAAACTAACTCAATTTGGTTTGGTTTGATTCGGTTCAGTTTTGTTTCAACAGCAGGATTGGATCGATTTATCCAAACTGGCCAAGTCGATTTTGGTTTCGGGTTGGGCTCAAAGCCAACCCAACCCGAACCATTCCCAGGCCTAATTATATTCATTTTAATAAGGAACCCTATCTTCGGAGTTGGTTCGACATCATGTGATTTAGCCCCACCCTTGTTTGGTGCTCATCGTTTTAAAACTCGTTTTGCTATATGATCATTTTCAATTACACATTTCCACAATAAAATATTTTGCATGTAAATCCAATTTTTTTTTCACAACCCCCCCCCCCCCCCCCCCCTCTTGAAATAATGGGCACCAAACAGGGTAATCACTAGTAAATGTTAATTCTTTAGTTATGCTATTACATATATTTTCAAGGGCCTGAAACTTTTTGTGCTTTTGCAGTAATGCTGGATGGACAAATTTCCTTTTCTTTCGGATTATATATTGACACATCGCAATGCTACTCGGAGTTTGTGGTGAGACGACTTGCTTTTGCATTGCATTGCATTGATGTTATTAATGCATCGATATGAAACACTATGTTTATAGCTTCTCCATTTATGTATTTTACTTCTCTAATTATAATTGAATGTTCTGTTAGATTTCTATGAACTCGGTGGTGAACTGAGAAAAAAGCATAGGACAGTAAAACTCGTATCTGTAAATAAGGACTTCCATAACTTTATTAAAATCATTTTTGGAATAACACAAGACCCACTTCTTGTTAATTCCATGTCTATAGAAACAACAAACAACTAGCTGTAGGAAATTTGAATCTATAATTGAAAATTATATATATAAAAAGAAAAGGTCGATCCATACAAAAACGAATCCCTAGACATATATTACCTTGAGTAAAACGGACCCGATTTCTTCAAGATCGATAACGGTTTCATATTTGGATGAAATCATTTCATATTTACAGAACGGCAATGGTCGAATTTCCAAAAGAAAGCATCTATCGAGTACACAATTTTTTGTTTGGACATTGCTCAATGTATGATTAGCTTCCCAAGAAATTTTGAACCATACAGTTTCATATTTTAACGTGTTCCACTCTATGCATTTTTCAATACACAGGTACGATAAAAAAAAATAAAAATGGAGGCAGCTAATTGACAACGCCTTGACTGTCCATCTACAATGATATTTTGCCATTTGATGTGAATAAAAATTAAATTTGGGACTATTTTTGAAAAAAATTAATGAAATGTGTGGTTTTAAAGTTGTTGGTGTTATAAAATATGTGGTTAAAAATGATTTTGAGAAATTTTAAAAAATAGGGGCCAAATATGGGCTAAAATTTTATGTAATTAATCGTGTTTAGTTAAGCTTATTTGGATAAGTTACTTATTTGACAAAAAAAAATATTTATTTTACTGTTTAAATATTTAACTTATTTTTAAATTAGTTAAACTAAAATTTGTTTACTTATAAGTAAATTTTTAAGCTTAACTATGCCTTTATTTGGTGGGAATTATTTTTTAATAAAATTTGATAAAAGGTAATAAAACATATGAATTTGATTAGAATTAATTATTAATTTTAATTTTAATTAAAATTAAAAGTTTAATCTTCAATAAACGGGGCTATATATTTTATAGGGGCCTGATTATGCGAATTGATTCTTTGATCATAAGAGAGAAAAATATGTCCCGCTTGTGAGTAAAAAAGTAAAAAAATAACGGTTGAAAGGGTAAAATAATAGTTAGGGCATCTCCAATAGATGCACAATTACACCAAAATTTTGGTGCAAACTTCCTCCAATCATTGAACCATTGCACCAAATTTTGGTGCAAAATGGTGCAACATGAATAGTATTGTACCATATTTGGTGCAAAACTATTCATTATACCATTTTTTGAACCAAATGGTGCAATGTCCATTTTGTCCTTATTTTTCATTTTTCAAAGAAAATGGTTAAGGGTATTTGTGTCATTTTCATTCCATAATGATAATAATAATGATAATGATAATGATAATAATTACTTAATTAATTACACTATTAATTATATTATTAAAGTTTATTATTTTTAATAATACTAGTCGCTATCACGTGCGTTGCACGAATTTTGTATTTATCGTATTTTTATTAGTATATGAATTTCAGTTTTTTTGAAAAGTTTTTGAAGCAATATCTAAAAATATTTCCATGATATAAGAAAATAATTATAAATTATTTTTACAATTGTATAACAGTATATTATCTAGAAAAAATATGCTTGTATATTTCATGCTTGAATAAGAAATATTTAAACTATTTTGCTTGTATTCTTTGATAGTGTTGATATGATTGAATTGAATGTGAATATTATATTTCTAAATTTTGTGTAATTCAATATTATAAAATTGAAAAAAAAAACTCTCCGCACAGTACGGATAGAGTTGAACCAAGTGCTGAGTAAAAATAAAAAATAAAAAAAAGTGCGGAGAGAAAAAAACTTGTGGAGTAAAAAAAAAAAAAAAATCTCCGCACAATGCGGAGAGATGTCAAACTAACTCTCTGCACAGTATGGAGAACAAAAAAAAAAAAACTCTTCGCACAGTGTGAAGAGTTGGTCCGCATAATGACAAAACTCTCTGCAAAGTGCGGAGAGAAAAAAGCTCTTCGTACAGTGCGTAGAGAATTGAACCATGTATGGAGTAAAAAAAAGTGTGGAGAGAAAAAAAATCTCTCCGAACAGTACGGAGAGAGTTGAACCATGTGCAGAGAGTTGGCAAACTCTTCGCACAGTGCGGAGTAAAAAAAACTCTTTACACAATGCGGAGAGATGACAAACCAGCTCTCCGCACAGTACAGAAAGAAAAAACTCTCCGCACAGTGCGGAGAGTTGTTTTCAAATTCCTTAATTACAAGTCAAATTTCAATATTTGTAAATTTTTCGTGTATATAACGAAACAGAGTAAAAAAATATGGCTTAAAATCAATTATATATTCTTTAAATTCCAGTCATAGCTCAATTTCTAAGCATACAAATCATATTTATGGTATTGGAAGTGAGCTTTCTTGTGATTCATACAATGAAACAATATGTGAGTTGTGCAAAGAATGAGATATTGATAGTTCCATGGCATTACTTTCACAAATGGAGGCTCTCGGGCACCACCCAAATTCAATATTTTACACTTGCTTGATAATAGCTCTTGGACATTAGAAGCGGATACAATTTTCAATGAAATTATACTTTTGGGTTGTAGGTCAGGAATTAAAGTGTTCAATACATTGCTCAAAAGCTATTTGAGAAAAGACCTATTGGAACTTGCAGATAAAATCCCGAGTTTTTTTGTTTTTCTCTTCACACTATGCGGAGAGATAATTTGTCATCTCTCCGCACTTTGCGGAGTCTTTTTTTTTTTGCTCATGTGTGGAGAATTTTTTTTTTTTGGTCTCATGAAATTTATATATACTAAAATTATTATTATTTTTTTAATGTTGTTGGTATGATGCATGTGTGGAAGAATATTTGTCAATCACTATAAACAAAATTCTTCACAAAATGTAAAAAAAAAAATGCATAATAAATCTTCTTATTACGCTAATAAAATTACAATAATTTTTTTTTAAAAATAACATAAAAAAATCATTTTTATCTTCAATAAAAAAGTACATTTAAAAATTAGCAATTTCATAACCACTTTTTTTTTTTTTTTTTTAGTTTTCGAAAATACAATTATAAAAAAGGAAACAATATTGAATTACAACATTTAATACTTAAGAAATGCAATATTAAATAAATTTTATACATTTATAACAAATTATAAATTCATATATGCAGCTTACCGTATTTGCAGGAAACTTACCGTACATACAGCTTAACGTATATGCTGCCTACTGTATTTGCAGTCTACCGCATTTGCAAACAACTTACTGTATTTGCAACTTACTGTATATGCTGCTTACTGTATTTGCAGCCTACAGTATTTGCAAACAAGTTATCGTATTTTTACCTTATCGTATTTACAGCTTATCGTATATGCTGCCTACCGTATTTGCAGTTTACTGTATTTTTATATATCGATTTTTGCACTTACAAATACCGAGAATGTAGAATATCGTGCATTCACTTACCAAACCGAATTTTAAAAAAATTTCGGGATTTTTATTTTTTCAACATAAGCATAAAATAAATGTTAAATATATATGAGGCACAAAATATAAATGCATGTGAATATGGTGTTCAATTTTCAATTTTTCAATATTGAATTACACAAAATTTAGAAATATAATTTTCACATTCAACTCAATCATATTAACACTATCAAATAATACAAGAAAAATAATTTGTATAATCTCGTATATTTCTTATTCAAGTATGAAATATACAAGTATATTTTTTCTAAATGATACAATACTGTTATGTAATTGTAAAAATAATTTGTAATTATTTTTTTATATCATGGAAATATTTTTAGATATTTTTTTTTAAAAACTTTTCAAAAAACTAAAATTCATACACTAATAAAAATACGATAAATGCAAAATTCGTGCAATGCACGTGACAGTTATTGTGCGGAGAGGGATTTTTTTTTTAACTTCGCACTGTACAGAGAGTTTGCCAACTCTCCACACTATGCGATTTTTTTTTTACTTTTTTTACTCCGCACTGTACGGAGAGTCCGCACAGAATGCCATCTCTCCACACTGTGCGGAGAGTTTTATCATGGTGTTTGCCATCTCTCCGCACTGTGCGGAGATATATATATTTTTTACTTTGCAATGTACGAAAATTTTGTTAACTCTCCGCACATGGTTTGCCATCTCTCTGCATTATGCGGAGAATTTTTCTTCATTTTTTACTCTGCACATGATTTGCTATCTCTTCGCACTGTGCGGAGAGTTTATTTATTTATTTATTTTAAAGCTTATGTGTGAAGAGGTTTTTTTTTGTTTTTTTTTACACTCATGGCAGTTTATATTTACTAAAATTATTATTATTTTTTAATAATAGTGACATGATGTGTGGAAGAACATTTGTTTGACATAAATAAAATAAAAAATGACATCATACATAGTAAAATTGAATTAATTTACTATTGCATGAATAGTAGACACTCCTTCCCCTTTTTATTAGAAGTTAGATAATCAATAATAATTAACGTAATTATTAATTTAACGTAAAGTTTAATTTGTAAAGTTTACGTTTAAAGTTTAATTTAACGTAAAGTTTAATTTAATTTAAAGTTTATATTATTAAAATTTATTATTTTTGTAAATTTAACGTAATTGTTTATCATAAATTAATGATAAAATCAAATATTTTTGTCAACTTAACATAATATATAAGACATGTGAATAATTTAGTAATCAATATATTTGTTAATTTAACGAAGTTATGATTTAGTAATTTATATAGTTATAAAATAAATAAATAATTTTTTAAAATAAATACATTGTCAAAAATCGAAATAATGAATAAAATAATAAAGCACTGTTTATTTGGTATAAGTTTTTGATATAATGGTTGGAGAAGAATTTTTAACTTGGTGTAAGATTTAGTGCAAAATTGGGTGCAAAATTGTATAAAATTTGATACATCGTTGGAGATGGCCTTTAAAATTGATTTTTTGGGAGTGAAAACTTGCTAACAAATAGGGCTAAAAGAGTAAACCATATTTTTAACTTTGAAAATTGCCGGCCACCCTTGAGAAACGGTCCACTGCCGAAAATAGAAGAAAAAGGAAATAGTCCCATTTGAAAAGAGAAATAGTCTACTTTCACCGTGTCGAAGACGAATTCATGTGTGTATACGCATACGTGTACTACCAAACGCAGTTTACTTTAGAGAGGGAGACGCGTCCTCTGCGGATATCCCCATCGGATTTGTGTACAGCTTCACCACATGTCGCCGACGATTTGCTAACCTGGGCCACGGGTATACTTTCCCCCCCTTCTTCTGTGTTTCTCCGGATTCCTCCTCTTTTCTTTCCTTTTTTTTTTTTTTTTTTTTTTTTTTTTTGGGTTTTAATTCGATCCTCACTTTTAAATAAATCTCATTTCTGTTCCTTTTTTTTTTTTTCGCAGAGGTGAACATCTACGGTTCTGTATTAACAGAGATTTAAAGAGAGAGTGTGAAGATGGCTGCTCCCCCAGCCAGGGCTAGAGCCGATTACGATTATTTGATTAAACTGCTCCTCATTGGTGACAGCGGTTTGTATCTGCTGTCTGTTTTTCTTATTTTCTTCGCCTATCAATAATTTGTGAGATCTATTGGATCGAATGATTGCCAATCAAGGTGCATTTGATTGTGGATCCTGAGTTTATTTCTGTAATGCGGTAGAGCTTGGTGTCGCCTTCAGCAAATGCTTGATTTAGATTTTATTGTCATTTTTGAGATGCATTCTTTATTGATTCCAAAATCATGGAAGCCCCGTCGAAAATAATGCTTTATTCAATAACTCCAAAAGATCAATTTTTAGGTTGGTTAAGGCAGTTGAGGGAAATATAACAACTTACAAAGGGTTTGCTTTTAAAAAATAAAAAACCACATCATGATTTTAGATTTCAAACAAGGCGGCCTGAAATATAATAGTTTAACTATTGACATCATTCTGTCTTATGAAAGTCCTCATTGCATTTCGTTGTGTGGGATTTTGTTGTAAAGTTAATATACATGCTTGCAGTCGCCAGAAATTCAAGGGATGTAATCCTAAACTGAGTAAACACATCAGCTCTTGAGATATATAATTAAATGCGCTGGCTTCTCATCCTTGTCATTGACCTAAAATAGAATAAAACGTAAATTAGAGACAATAGAATTGCAACAGTGTTATACATCTCAGAAGTTGTATCAATGAACAGAATACTGTTGCTGCAGCCCAGAAAAATAAATAAAAAAAGGAAAACTAACTTTTTTACATTTTGCTTGCTGTCATGAATTTTTCGTTCATTTTTCTATTTATGGCCTTCTATTTTATGTAACTAGTCCTTTTAGGACTACGCAGACCTATATGCACTTTTTTGGAATCAATTTCAATAATTTTTCACGTTCTCCTTTGAAAATCATCCCTAACAATCAACGGTAACATTTTTTTTTTAATATATATCTCAAATTGCCTTTTCACTTCTAGATATTAAGACCAGCTGGCTACATTTCTTTTTCTCCTGCTTAGATGTTATACACAGTTCATGTTGTGTTAGTTCGATATAGTTTGGTACTTTTAGAACTTTTTTCATTCTGAAGAATGCACGTGTTCACTTTTCTTTCTTTGCTCTTGAAAATAAATTATGTATGCTTTTCTGCTGCATTTGTCACGAGGTCATGATGTCATTGTTGCTTTCTGGTCACTGAAGCCTTTGATAATGAGTGCCAAAGTTTGCCCCCTTCAGCAGTTCCTGTTTGACGCCTCTTTGTCTTGCGGGAGCTGCAAGAGTTTCTTTATACTAGCCATTGTTTCTTCATGTTCACATTGCTACTACCTTTAATTTTTATGAAAACTTTGAAGTGTTTATGCATACCTCAGCTGACAATTGTTTGAGTAATCATCTTGTTTGGTATAGCTAGAAACTTCAATCTTGTACTCGTTTGTTTTTACAGGTGTGGGCAAGAGTTGTTTGCTTTTGCGTTTTTCGGATGGTTCCTTCACAACAAGTTTCATTACCACTATCGGGTTTGTAGTTTTGTGACATCGTGTTTCTTTGTAACTTCAATCTGCTATGAAATGGACCATCAATATCTAGAATGTTAGTAGTTAGTATTAGCTGATGCCAGTGTTTGCATTTCGTCTATTCCAAATTTAACCATTGAGTAATCACTGGGACGCACGCTATAAGGATTTGGATAGAGAAGTCTGCATGTTTTTCCCATGTGAATTTTTTACTTGTTCAGGTTTATATAAGCAACAAAACGGTTAGATTATTGACTGTCTGCCACTAGGGGGCCAAAAGGTAATAAAAGGATGTTTGGATGCCATTATGATTAATACCTGGATAGACTGATAACAGTCTAGAAGAGTTTCAGATTAATTATATTGTTGTCTGATTCAAGTGTCCTGATAATATGTCAACAAACAGATTGTATAAGTCGAGCTCTCTGATGTAATTGGCATAAGATATCCATTTCATTCATTTATTTTTCAATAATTTAAAGTGATGCTTATTGTGCAGCATTGATTTTAAGATAAGAACTGTAGAGCTGGATGGCAAACGAATTAAGTTGCAAATTTGGGATACAGCTGGTCAGGAGCGGTTCCGGACTATCACAACAGGTGTGTAGGTAGCTTCATACTCTTCATTTTAGAAGTCAAGAATTACAGATGCTGCTATATCCTAGTGCCAACACACACGTATCAGCAGGAAGAGTAACACACACGTATCAGCAGGAAGAGTACGTAAACCTTTAATGGTGGCAATATTTAAGTTTTATGTCACGCACTGAGCATTTGCTTATAATGCGGTCAAAATACATCCTGCTGATACGTGTGTGTGTTCAAGCATTTTTTTCTACCTCCATTTCTGGAGAAATGTCTTCCTTTCTATTTGTTTGTAAACAATATCCTGTTTTTATATAAATTTTTTTTTCCCACCTGCTTTCTTCTGCTGGTATCCTCCTGTTAGAACATTTCATGATAGTATATAAAGTTGTCACAGCTGCTGTTGCCACAGCATACCCCATTTGAGTTGCAACTAACATTGCCAACTTAGTTTCCAAACACCTATGGACACCCTAGAGTTCTTGAACCCACTGCTACAGTTTAGAACCACCACCATCATAGGAAAGGTCTAACTAGTGGAATAAAGGTCTACATTGCTATTTGATCCTGTGTTGTTAGTTAAATCAGTCTATTAAATGAAGGTACAGAAAGAGAGGGATTCGAACCCTAGGTAAACAAAAGTCTACATTGCTGTTCCAATGCTACGCGGATAGAAAATCTACCTCTCAATCAGGAAAATTTCCAAATTTCTTGATGCCAAGCCACGTAACTTTTTGTTCATTTTCTGTGGCTACTTCATTTTGGGGCATTCATTAGAGAGTAATTTTGGTTCTTGAGGAATTGATGGCTGTAAGTCGGGTGGGTGGGTACTTTGGGCCGTTGTAGAGTTCCATTGATTGTGATATGGTTATTTTGTGCTTGTTTCGATGGTGGAATTTTGGTTGTGTCTTTGATGTCAGTTGTTTTAGTTAGTACTTTTTGGTGCTAAGGACGTGTCAATGGGGTGCGTGTGTCTATATATATATATGAGCTAATTATTGGTTGATGGTGGATTCGGGGTCAGATGATAGTGTTTCTCAGGTAGTTTTTATGGGGCAGGTGGATTGCTGGACTACTAGACAAAGAGGAGCTGGTCTGTGGACCAAAGAATAAAATGAGAGGCATATTTCCTTTTTTTAATTTTGAATGAACTGGGTTATTCACTTGAGCAAGATGAAAATTGATCATTACACTAGAGAAAGGCCTCAGCTAAGTAATCAATTCAAGTCAAATATAGTTACTCATTTTGACAAGGAGCAATAGAAATTCAACATGTCTGTCAGTTTATAAATCTATGCAGGATGAAGTAGTGTGATAGTTTCCTTTTCAACTTTATATCCAATAATTATGGCATTTATCTTTAGCAATAATTTGCCTTTTTGCAGCTTATTACAGAGGAGCTATGGGTATCTTGCTGGTGTATGATGTCACTGATGAATCATCTTTCAATAGTAAATTTTCTTTTACCTAGAATACAGTTTTCGTAATTAATCTGAGAATCCATCCATGTCACTTATTTTTTGTGTTTTTTTGCATGTCATTATTGCACCACCCTTTTTACTGTGTTTTGACCGGCAGAATTAATTTTGTTGTTGGCCATATTCAATTATATTTTATTGTTTTTCTTGTTCAGATATTAGGAACTGGATTCGCAACATTGAGCAACATGCTTCTGACAATGTTAACAAAATATTGGTGGGGAACAAGGCTGACATGGATGAAAGTAAAAGGGTAGGTGGTTGCATTTGTAGATATTGACACGAGAAATTTTACTTTCTATTCTGACGTGAACTAAGTTGACGGAGCATGCTGCTTCCCTTTTATACATGTTTGTGTCCCTGTCTGAAACTGAAGATTATATAAACTTTTCTTTGTGGAGCTCGATGAAAGTTTAGATGCAAAGTATCTTTGCATGTGCCATGGTTATTGATATTTTCTTTTTCTTAAATTTGCAAGGCTGTGCCTACCTCCAAAGGTCAAGCTCTTGCCGATGAGTATGGTATAAAGTTCTTTGAAACAGTAAGTAGAACTCCATCTTGCCTGATTGGATGTCTAGCATAGCTATTTAGTTTATGTTGTAACTTCTAAATGATATTCTATTATAGAGTGCAAAGACAAACATGAATGTGGAGGAGGTTTTCTTTTCGATTGCTAGAGATATAAAACAACGGCTTTCAGAAACTGATTCTAAGATCGAGGTACAAGTTTTTTCTTATTTGTTTTATCATCCTTTTATCTAAGAAATAAGTATTGGGAAAATTATCCAACTTTAAGTTATAAAAAGATGTTATTTGATCTATGTTCAGATACCATGGGGCAGAATTATGTTATGCCCCTCCACTTTAGTTCCTCTGGCTACTAGAGTGGATTATATGTCTTGAAGACAAAATTTAATTAAATAAATTGTTCTGTCTAATAGCTTAAATTTTCAGATAAGATGGTTTAACATGGTATCAAAGCATATGAAATTTGTGAGTTCAGTTCTTCGTGCCATCTATTTAGGTCGTTTTTGGTGCATTGAATTTGACTAGATAAAAGTCTAGTATAAATTGTGATGAATATTATTAGGTAGAGGGTATGATGATTGATTAAGGCAGATAATAATCTTTGTACTTCATTTCAAATAATTTACTTACTATCTCTTTTTTATCCGGCCTGGACGCTCTTCCAATCTCTGTATTATGTTATACAGTTTATAGTGTGACTGTCTTGTGAATGAAAAAATTAGAGAATTTTATCCAACTTCTACCATAATGCTACTTAAAAAAAATAATAATAATAAAATAAAATAAAAATATGAGACAACTTCTGACATAATACTGTCTGCTATCCATTACAATTTTGTATAGCCTAATCCGGTGCACCAAATATAGCCTCATGAATATGTATTAGAGTTTCAATGCAAAAATGAATTCTATCTGCACGTGAGAGGCTTGTTGAAAATTAAATTTAAATAAAAATAACTCCGTCCTCGCTCTAATAATGTAAGCTTTTAGACGAGGTGATTCAATGCATTAAATTCTCCTTTTAGTTTCATTGCCTCAATATTTTTATGAATGCAAAATATTCGGTTGGTTACTGCAGCCTCAGGCCATTAGGATCAACCAATCAAATCAGCCAGGTTCAGGTGGTTCAGCTGCACAAAAGTCAGCTTGCTGTGGTTCATAATATCGGAATTTCAACTATATTCAGAGCATTAGAGGGTGTGTATAATTTGATGGGGATGAAAATTGTTCATCCATATGTCGACTGCCTTTATCTTTTTATTGTCTTTTTTCCATCATCTTCTATGTATTGAAAGTTTTCGTTTTTATTTGTGAATACACCTGTTCGACTATTTATTTCACACTTCATTTGTGCGTGTTCATGTATGCGTTACCTTGTGCTCTGTTTTCTTTTTGTCCCTTTTTATCGTATGATGACACCACTAGCTTAGATGTATTTGTAAAGGAAACGAAAGAATAATGCTATCTAGAATGAGTAGTGCTAGAGTGCCGATCTATATGATAATATGTGATATGTTCAACCAAAGGTAAAATTATGTAATTCATTAAATTATACTTCTAATTTATTGTCACATTAGTGTCAATTAGCTTGGTATTCTTACACAAGTGATGTTAAATAGCATTAAGTGAAAAGAAATGGATGGTTATTGTTTGATTGGTAGTGATTTAGGTGTTGGTGAGATTGTACCGTATCATCACTACCCCGCACCCCAACCCCCAAAAGTTTGAAATACTTTAATACTAGCTACAGAATCATTTTCATTAATCTACACTCTTTTCAACAATTGTTCATTAAATATGACATCTGAAAAAGATCATGAGCCTGTTTAAGAGTGACTTTGAGAATTAAATTTTTGATCGTTAGGAAAAAAGTGGGGTCTATCTATGAGAGAAGAAGTCAAATATGACGGCAAAAATAGTGAAATAATGGTCAAAAAATTAATTTTTTGAACCAAAAAATCTCTCCCAAACAGTTGCATATTACATTTCTCTTTTTCTCTCATGTTTTCCTAATTTGATTATGTAAATTTCTGTTCGATATCTTAGTATATCAATGAAAGATCATGCCAAATCCAATTAACAATTTTTTTGTGGAATAAATTTTAATCTAGAAACTCTATGCATTGCAAAAATTAAAATTGATGATTCATTGCCTCAAAATTTGAGTGGAGATTCAGGAAAAAAAAAAAAAAAAAATGGAAAAAAACTCTTTTAGTTCTCTAGAGACTTCTGAAGTTCACGTGCCAATCAAACGATTGTTTTGGGAGATGTACGAGTATAATGTATCGTGCTTCAAAATACATAAATTCCAAAATTAAATCATTTAAAAGATGAATCAAAACATTGATTACCTTTTCAAATCCGTTATTGTTTACCGACTAAACTGACTTGAAACTACAAGTCAAATGGTTACTTTTCAAAGGTTTAAACTGGAAAAAATGGGTTCAAATGAATCAAAAGTGGATAAAAAGACGATAATGCCCAAAAGGGATATTTTGCACAATCAAAGATGTAATTGAGGAGAAAAATGTTAAAAATAGAAGTTAGAAATATTTTGCACGATAATAATAAAAAGGTATCAACGTTTATGTATAATCGGAATTTGAATGCAATTTACCGTCCTCTAATATTAAAGGTCTATATTTTAGCCCGCCCTATCAGGGTGCGCCACCTCGAGATGTGTGGGCCACCCATTGAAGTAGCGCAGCAATCACACCATCCACGTGGTGATAGTGTGACCGCTCCACTGAAAATTCGTTTTGAGTGTACACTCCCCTCCTACGAGGGGAGGGGCTCACGACCAATTGACGAGCGGGCCCTGCCCCCTTGTAAGTGGGCTGTACATACTTAGTGTACATGTAGCACCCCCTATATTTTTGTACTCTTTTGACGCTTGTCTGTAATTTTTTTTTTAGCAAAACCAACCATCCTATACTGTCGCCGCACCATCTTATCAGCTCGGCCCCGGCAATTAATTGTACCAATGACTCGACAAGCCACAAGACTAATTAGCAACTTCACGTCAAAACTGTTGTACTCTAGGCAGCTCCAGCAGAACCGCAACTTCGGATCGGCTCCACCTCCTCCAGCTGTGTTTGTGGACAAGAAAACCCGTATCATTTGCCAAGGCATCACCGGCAAGAATGGCACTTTAAACGAATAGAAACTAATGCTATGCCCAATTATTATTTTCATGTTACATTTTAGGCATTGTTCTTATTGGCAAGAGAGGTGGTACAACTGAAGAGGATGCTACAGCCCTTATAAAGGTTAGAACAATATCTTTCTCCAGAAGATTAGAATTTACATTGTTTCTCTACTTATGGATCATGTTTGTTTCCAATTTAAAGTCTGCAGTCTAGTGTTAAGTTCAGTATGTAACATAATATGTTCCCAAAAGTTGGAATCCTTCTAATTTAGGATTTGAAATGCTTATCGATGAGTTTTTTTTTTGGTAAATGTAAATATCATTGATAAAAAATGTTCATATACAAGCACACCGGGCATACCCGGGCAAAACGGAAACCAATATCACACACAATTTCTCCGTGCATACCCGGGAAAGACAACAAAAGTGGAGTGCAAAAAAAAGTCAATGATCCAACGCTAAGGACTCAAAATGGATCAAAACATCCGGATACATAGAGAACATAACTTTGTATACGTGTGTCTTGATCCGTCTCACAATGGAATCCAAGCTTGGTGAAAGGTCTTCAAAAATCTTTTTATTACGTGTCAACCAAAGGAAGTAAACGGTACTAGCAAGTGCAATTCTCTTAGCCTTGCTTCGCCATGATGTCTCAGGAGCCTCTTTCTTTATCCACTTGAGAGAGCTAGCAAGTGTTGACATAGATCTTTTGATGCCAAGCCAATGTCTAATATTTTCCCATACAACCTATGTGAGAGAACATTCAAAGAATAAGTGACGAATTGTTTCTTCCATATGCCCACTGCTGGAAAATACGGATAATGGGTCGCCCATGTGGGGTGACCCGATCCGCAGGATTTTATAAGAGTTGGAGGGAGTGGTTTGAATTTATAATTCAAACCTATAACTCCCAAATAACTACTTGAAACTTCTAGATAGAAGTTATGGAAAAGAGGGGGAAAATGAAAGATATGAGAAATATGGTGAAAATTCGTATGTAAATCACATCAAAATTGAAAAGCCCTTAGAATCACATTTTTGGCATGATTGTGGATAATAATTCCCTTCCATTATGATTGGGATTTAGACCATTGGAGTACAAGAAAATGTAGATTTTGGAGATTTGAAGGCAAGGTGATTCAACTACACAAAGATCTTGAAATTCATCATTTCAAGTAAGTTTATTGACCCGAAATTCATGTCAAAGCATGCTACGTTTTTCCTACATTGGTATCAGATCCACAAGGTTGAATTCCTTGCTATAATTCATGCTTAATTATGCCATTACATGATAGAATTGCGTTATGAATCTTATATGCAAAGTTTTGAAACCTTATGTGGTATTTAGTGGCATCATTTTATAATTTACTGTCATTTGGTTATTCGTCTTCATGTATTAAGATTAGTATGGTTAGAAAGGTCTTCTCATAAGCTTTCCAACCATATAAATAACTCAAATTTTGGACTTAAAACGAAGAAGTTATGAGTTTTTGAAATTTGGATGATAATCTGAATTTTAAGCGTGAAACTTGGTAAAACTCTGAAATTCATCACATGATAATTTTTTATACATTAAGTTTCATGCTATCCATTTGGTATGGTTGGATAGGTCTTCTCGAGACCTTTCTAATGATATAAAGATCATTAATTTTGGACTTGAGACGAGAAAGTTATGCCTTCCTAAAGTTTAGATGAAAATCTATTTTTTTAGTGAAAATTTGTAAAATCAGAAACTTCATTAGATGATAACTTCTTCCACATTGTGTTTCATGATGCCCATTTGATATGGTTGGATGGATCTTCTCGAGACATTTCCAACAATATAAAGAACATAAATTTTGGCCTTGGAATGAAGAAGTTATGGCCCTCCAAAATATTGATAAAAAATCAGAAAATTATGTCTTGTTTTTTTTTTTTTAAAGAACAATACTTTTTTCCCATTTTTTAGTCTCGATCGGATCTGTTTGGGTCCAGAACACAATCTTAAAAATTAATATTATGAAATATGACCACACAGATGAACTCAGAACGTTAAATTTGATTAGATGGACGAATTAACGAATTTTTTTTTCATTGAATAAGGGCCGCGGATTGGCGTGTAGTGGGTGTTCAATGCCCCCTTTTTTATTAAAAAGGGGGGGGGGGGGGGTTTAAAAGTTGGAATTTCAAATAAAATTACCGTTTGACCTTTTTAAATGAATTTTAGAAAATTGCAAATTGTTCCCTCAAATATTCTTGATTTTTATTTTCAATTAAATTTAATTTTCAAATAATCAAAAAAAATTTTTTGGACTTGATTGAATTCTAAATTTTTTATAAAAATCAAGAATATTTGTTAAGCAGTATTTGCCTAGTGGGAGTTATTTTTTTTTTTTGAAGTGTTTCATTTTTAAATGAAAAATACTCCGAAAGTATTTAAAATACCGCATTATATATACGTTCATGAGTTGTGTGGGTCTTAATTATGTTATGTGATCCATTGTGACTTGTTTTCAATTTTTGGTGCTTAATCAAATATGGCTAGATCTGTGCACATTTATAGTATCATTAGAATGAATGCTAGAAAACCAAAGGTCATGAAACTTGTTGAAATGTTCCATGCTTATCGATATAAATGAATGAATTTGGAACATGACCTATTGTGGAACACGTAAAAATTTTGGGATATAAATTTTTGATGACAAGCAGAATATACTAATTCTAATGTCACTTTCCAGTTATTAGGACCGTGTTGCGACCGAGATTTAGATGGGATTGAGAATTTGTAAAATAAAACTTAAACGATGTTAATTTTATTTTTGAATTATAATTGAAGTTATCTTCTAAAAGAATTAATTTGTTATATCATGATGCATGTCATGATTGGATAAATGTGCATATTTATGTTTTTATTGCAAATTATGAAATTATCTAATTGAATACATAATGTATTGTTATAAATGCTAAGGTCAGTAGAATTAGTGAGATTTTTACTTAGACCTATTGATTGTCAGTTGAGTGATAGTTCGATAATTGGAAGATTTAGAGAAAATCTCACCAAGAACTATCTGATTCACCAACTGAGTGGAGGTTCTAAAGTTGGAAGAATTAATGCAATTCTCACTTAGAACCCATGGAATTTTGCATTATTAAATTAAGTTTATGATAGCGAAACAATAAAATTGCGGACGATGATTGAGAACATAGTGAACTTTGGACTCTGTGCCTAACGTT